TACAAAACACTTAGCTATTTATATAGATATGCAAATTAATCACATCGCTATCTCCACTCACCTGTGTAAAAAATGTAAACAAATCGTTTTGATCTATCTATACCTTTTTATCTATATAGATAATTATCAATATTTTATAGTAGCTGCGAAAATTTCAATATATAATCAAACAATATTTATTCATGGTACTAATGATTTCCTTGAATTGATAAATCTCCGTATTAGTAAAGACAACCCAAGTAAACCGAACAATCGTGTCTGTATATATATCATATACATGCGAAAGCATTTGAAAATAATCTTTCAGTTTATATGGAATTCTAATCTCGCTGTCATACTTTTTGAAAACCTTTTTAAAAGTATACAAATATTTATTTATAAACAAAATACTTACCCATTTAGAAACATTTGTTATACATCCAACACAATTATATATTTCAATGTAAGGTATACCGGTTAATATAGTGTCGATGCTCGTGGAAATCAATTGTTATACATGTGAAGGTCGATATATTTTACCAGTCAATGATTCTAAATATAGAAACAGGTGAAAACCTATCAAAGTCGGTCAATATGGAATTAAATGTATGTGCGTACATGTATATTATATTGCAACTCACAGGGTGAAGGTTAACTCTGTCATTGATGATATATGTGTGTCATTTATTTTGTCTCTAATTTCTATAGTTGTAAATACCTGTATGTTTTATTTTTGTTTATTTATTTATCATCGAATACTTTTAAAAAACAATCAAGATGTCACTTAATCTATTACACATATGTTCTTTAAATTGTCAGGGGTTGAGAAAACATGAAAAAAGAATTAGACTAAAAGAATGGATGAGACAACAGAAATGCAATATTATAATTTTACAAGAAACTCATTTTTCGGATAATTCTATAGACAAAGAATTCACGGGAGAATTATATCATAGTTTTGGAAGTACACAAGCAAAGGGTGTTTCGATTTACATTAACAAAATAATTAAACATGAAATTATTGACAAATATGTAGATCAAGAGGGAAGAATTGTTTTAATCAACATAGAAATTGATAAAAATATATTTACTTTTGTTAACCTTTACGCCCCAAACACATGTAAAGATAGAAATATATTCTTTAAAAAAGCTTTAAGTGTCATTGAAAAATATAGCCTTGGTATACTTATTATAGGGGGTGATATGAATGAAACGCTTAATATAAAGGATAGAAAAAGTAATAGAAAAGATAAACAAAAAATAAAAAATAAGACAAATGCGTTGAAAAGTTTAATAAAAAAACTAAAAGTTATAGACATCTGGAGAGTAATAAATCCAAATAAAACACAATATACCTGGAGAAGAAAAAATAATGAAGTAGCTAGTAGAATTGATTATTTTCTTGTTAGTCAAGACGTGAGACCTAGAGTACTCCACACTGATATAAGACCCGCTACAATTCAATATACAGACCATCTAGCAATTTCACTTAAGATAAATCATTGTCAGGGGGAGAAAGGAAAGGGTTATTTCAAATTAAACAATAGTATTCTTAAAGACGAATCATACAAAATGAAAATAAACACTTTAATAGATAAATATGAAAAATTAAGAGACCGAAAAGGTTTAGCAATCGTGTGGGATCTGTTTAAAATAGAGGTTAAGGAGACGACTATTGAACATTGTAAAATCAAAGCTAAAAATAAAAGAGATGAAATTAAAGAATTAGAACAAGAACTTAAACTTTTGAATGAAATTCAGGATAATGTCCTTGATGAAAAGAAAAATAATAACATAATAGATTCAATAAAGAAAACAGAAGAAATGTTACAAACTCTATATTCTGATAAAATAAAAGGGGCAAAAATAAGATCAAGAGTTAAATGGGTAGAAGAAGGCGAAAAAAATACAAAATATTTTTTGGGATTAGAGAAATCGAGACAGACAAGAAAAAATATTACTGCGATTAGGGACAGTGAAGGGGAAATAACTGAGGATCAAGGTAAAATATTAGAAACGGGGAGGAATTATTATGTAAATTTATATACGTCAACTAAGCCAGATTTGGAAGACATTGAGAATTATATTGAAAATACAAAAATAAACAGCAAACTAACTACACACGAAAGTAATGAAATTGAAGGAAAGCTGACAATAGAGGAATGTACAAATTCTGTTTTTAAAATGAAACTTAACAAAACACCGGGTATTGATGGTCTTCCAATTGAATTTTATAGATCTTTCTGGTCCAACTTACAATATTTTGCTGTAGATGTCTTTAACCATTGTTATGAGAAAAAAGAATTAACAAATTCACAGAAACTAGGATTAATTACCCTTATTTACAAGAAAAATGACCCGTTAAATTTAGACAATTATAGACCAATTACTTTATTAAATGTAGATACCAAAATTATAGCATATTCTCTTGCACAAAGACTTAAACCAGTATTGCATAAAATCATTCACAGTGATCAAAACGGGTATGTAAAAAACAGATATATTGGGTTTAATATTAGACAAATCCAAGATATTATAGACTATTCAGAAAAATTCAACGTAGACGGGGCTATTCTTTTTTTAGATTTTTCAAAGGCATTTGACTCGTTAGAATGGGAATTTATGTATTGTTCATTAAAGAAATTTGGCTTTCAGAAATCTTTATTGAAGTGGATAAATACTTTATATACAGATATAAAGGGTTGTATATTAAATAATGGGTGGATTTCAAGACCCTTCAGCATTGAGCGCGGGATCCGTCAAGGGTGTCCCGCGAGTTCTATAATCTTCGTTATTGCTGTTGAAATTTTAGCCTGTAGATTAAGACAAGATAAAAAATTTAAAGGTTTTCAAATCAAACTAGATAATAAAACCCATACTCTAAAGTTAAGCCAGCTTGCAGATGACACCACTTTATTTTTAAATTCAAAACAAGAAATTTCATTAACTTTGAATATTATCGAAATTTTCGGATCACTTTCAGGCCTAAAGCTTAATCGAAATAAAACAGAGGGGATATGGCTCGGAAATTTAAAATCTTGTAAAGATAAAGTTGAAAACATTAAGTGGACACAAGGACCGATAAAAGTATTAGGAATATATTTTGGACTTAATAAAAATGAGTGTAAAAAATTAAACTTGCAAAGACAATACGAAAAATCGGAAAAAATAATTAAAGATTGGAATAAAAGAAAATTAACTATGTTAGGTAAAATAACTCTTGTTAAATCACTAATCCTACCAAATATAACCTATGTTGCATCAGTAACAGATATTGATAAAGAATATCTCGCAAAATTTAAAAAAATAATATATAGTTTTATATGGAATAATAAACCAGAAAAAATTAAAAGACCTATAATAAGTAAAAATTATCTTGCCGGCGGACTTAAAATGATAGACATAGATAAATATATAGAATCCATAAATATTAATTGGGTAAAAAGACTCATTGATAATGAAGACTCATCACCCAATTGGAAAGTCTTACCAAAATTTTACTTAGACAAGTTTGGACAAGAATTCCTTATATTTAAAATGGACTTTAACAATATTAATCTAATCAATAAACTAAAAGAAATTGTTCCAGAATTTTACTTAAAAATAATTATATCATGGATAAACTCAAAATCTGAAAAAGAATCAAATCGACTAACATATAAGCATATCAGACAGCAACTAATATGGGGCAATAAGCATATCAAATTAAATGGTAAATGTCTTATTTTCAAAAATTGGATAAACAGCAAAATTTTATTTGTAAATGACATAATTGATGATAAAGGAAAAATTAATCAAAATAAGATTTTGGATAAACTATCTTGCCATGCTAATTGGTTTTCGGAATATTCTAAATTGATGAAAGCAATACCAAAACAGTGGTTACAAGAGCTCATAAAAGAAGAGTCAATCAAAACAAAAGTTGCTACCGACTCCGAATTTAAATTCAAAGATAGAGAAGGAAAAATGGTACCAATAAAAATATTTTCCTCGAAAGATATCTACATCTCGCTTTTAAATAGATATTATGAGAAAGCAATAGGATTTCAAAAATGGGACAGAATTCTAAATTTAGATAACAATACAAGGAAAAGAGAACAAATGTTGTACTTCATCTTTAACTATATCCAAGATAATAAATTGAGAATGTTAAGATGGAAATTTCTACATTACATTTTACCAACCAAACAATTACTTTTCTCTTGGAAAATAACTAAAACTCCTCTATGTAATATATGTAATGTCATTGAAGATTATGATCATTACTTTCTGACATGCAAATATCTAAAATCATTTTGGGATCAAATAAAACTAATACTAGACAAACTTAAAATAGGACATCATATAATATCACTGGCATCACTTTTGTATAGATATAAGATAAACGATACAAATTATTACAATATCAACGATTTTCTAACAATCGTACTTTTTACTATATATAAAGTGTATTACATATCCGAGCAGAAAACAAAACAAATTAATGTGTTTGAAATTTTTAAAGGTAAACTTTTCCAACATTACGAAATATTGACAAATAAACAAGGCAAATATAAAAACTTCTACAATTTGGTTGCAGAAAAAATTAATTTATCTTCTTAACTAAGATTTATAATATATCATAGTAATTTCTTTTTATCCTGTTATACATTATTTATTAGCAAAATTGTATGTTGTGTACTAATAAGTACTAACCTTATGAAATGCTATATACTAACGTCAACGAGACCGGGATAAGGTACCGGTACTTTATGTATCTCTAACAAATGTACATTTCAAATAAAATTATACACTGAAAAAAAAAAAAAAAAAAAAAAAAAAAAAAAAAAAAGACATTTTAATTTTAGAAAAAAACTTTATTGTCCCTTTCGGTAAATTAGAAATGGATTTGTAATTTTCAAGTTACATCCTATAGAGGTTATTGAAGTTTAAAGGTCAAGTCATATGATACAAATCTCTAAAGAAATTGTTTAGTATTTTTCCATGTATATGTGAAATATCTTGACATAAGATCGCCATACCTGTTTACAAAAAAATCTGTTCTGTATATTAAATCACCTCATTTGAATATAACTTCCATTGTGTGTATGGCAATTAAAATGTTTGACATAAAATATCAGCCGACCAGGAAGTTAATTAGAACAAGTTGAATCCTGATCAAGGTAACCAATAGATATTTAAATACCTGACCCAGTAAATATGATTAGGTCAACAATCATGTTACCAGACATATTATAATGCAGGGATTTAAATTTTTCACTTTAGAAAATCTATGTCAATTTTGTATATAATATTTATAAACATTTAATGTGGTAAAATTGTCACAGTTTGATGTCACATGTAGCCTCTTATTTTATGGTTATTGATCATCACGTTTATAATAGGTACTTTTTTTGTATACAGCAGCATCTGCAGTCATCCATATAAAACATTAATTCAGAAATGCTGCTAAGTATAGTTGGTACCGTTTATGTTATATTCATAAAATCGACTTACCTGGGTTCAATCCCTGGCTAGATCAAACCAAAAACTTGAAAATTGGTACTTACACTTGTACACAAGGCAGAGGCAACATTTAACAGAAAGAGCAAATACTTTAGATTCAGCTTAGTCCAAATAATTATGACTTCTTGAAAGGCCATAATTGAAGTTATTGCTGTGACGCCTTCCAACAACATCACATCATAAAATTGAAATGGCTGTCATAATTATTTGGACTAGGGTCAGCTCAAAGTCAGAACAACATGTCCTTTAATGCTGATACCTTGTGAACTAGCATGTTAATAATCTGTCTCTGTGTGTTGTCCGTCTATTAACTCCATCGTCTGGCCTCATCCTGTTTTGTCATCTGTTAACTTTTACTAAAAATATTTCCCATAAACTCGCCTGCCAATCAACATGTCCATTTTATCAAAAATTGTCAGAAAAATAATTTTATAAGTTTCTGTTCCTAAATGAATTAGCACATCTTATTTCCAGTGATATTATGTGGGCCTGTCTAGATAGTCATGGTTTATTTGTTTTAAAAATTTTGCATAGTTGTTTCATGTTAAAGTTTGTGATTTAGGTCAGTTAAAGGGGAACTACTATGTTAAGTCCATGATATTTGGTATACCGTTGTGAAAGTATTTGCACATCTTATTTGCATGGATACTGTATATCCTTGCTTCCTCAGTCATGGTTACTGAAAATTCAGAAACTAATGTGATGCTTTAACTAGAAATAAAGAAAAATGCAACAGTATCATGTTAGCATTGATAAAAACAGTTTAGGAAAACCAGAAACCTTCATTTAACTAAAGTTGTTTTAGTATTGGCACATCTGATTTTCATGGATACTGTATTGCTCCAACACCTGTCATGATTCACTGACTTGAATTCTTGCCTAGCAGACAAGTTAAATGTATGATTCGTATGTATGAATTTCATTGCAAATTTATTAATAGGATCATGTTGAAGTTTTGAATTCCAGTTGTTTGTTTCTTATATGTACCTTACCTGAACATTTTGTTCTTTCTATAGAGACCGTATATGACTTTGGGTACATTGAGAGATCAAGTAATATATCCTGATAGCAGAGACAACCAATTAAAGAAAGGAATAAGAGATGCACAGTTAGAAGATATTCTTTAAAAGGTATTCTTTAATTGAAAAAAAATACTTTTCTCTCTATGAATAATGCTGGCTATGTAGATGGGGGACACTTTTTTACATTGGTTACAATGAAATACTTTGATTTCCCACTTAAATAAAAACCGATAATTTCGCTTGCAAAATAAATCTGATGATTTCACTCCTCTGATGTCATACAAAAAAGGAGTTGTCAAAAATTTGTCAATGATGCTGCATAAAAACCAAATAGGAGTGGACGACAGAGATATAGTCTCTTGAACTTTATTCTTTATTTCTATGAAAAAGCCCATGGTCAAAGTAATAAGAAAAATATTCAACATGTGACCGAACAACACTGATAATTTAAAACCTGTAAATATTTGTGAATTAATGTGTTGTTCGGTCAGGCCTTAAACATTTGTGAATTAATGTGTTTTTCAGTCAGGCCTTAGATATTTGTGAATTAATATGTTGTTCAGTCAGGCCTTAGATATTTGTGAATTAATGTGTTGTTCAGTCAGGCCTTAAATATTTGTGAATATGTGTTGTTAGGTCAGGCCTTAAACATTTGTGAATCAACATGTTGTTCAGTTAGGCTTTAAACATTTGTGAATTTATGTGTTGTTCAGTTAGGCCTTTAATATTAGTTAATTAATGTGTTGTTCAGTCAGGTCTTAAACATTTGTGAATAAGTATGTTGTTCCGTTAGGCCTTAAACACTTGTGAATTAATGTGTTGTTCGGTCAGACTTTAAACATTTGTAAATTAATGTGTTGTTAGGTTAGGCCTTAAATATTAGTGAATTAATGTGTTGTTCATTCAGGCCTTAAACATTTGTGAATAAATGTTTTGTTCGGTCAGGCCTTAAACATTTGTGAATTAATGTGTTGTTCCTTTAGGCCTTAAATATAAGTGAACTAATGTGTTGTTCAGTCAGGCCTTAAACATATGTGAATTAATATGTTGTTCCGTTAGGCCTGAAACACTTGTGAGTTAATGTGTTGGTCGGTTAGGCTTTAAACATTTGTGAATTAATGTGTTGTTCGGTTTGTCCTTAAATACTAGTGAATTAATGTGTTGTTCAGTCAGGCCTTAAACATTTGTGAATTAATGTGTTGTTCGGTCAGGTTTTAAACATTTGTGAATTATTGTGTTGTTTCGTTAGGCCTTAAATATAAGTGAATTAATGAGTTGTTCAGTCAAGCCGTAAACATTTGTGAATTAATATGTTGTTCCGTTAGGCCTTAAACACTTGTGAGTTAATGTGTTGTTCGGTTAGGCTTTAAACATTTGTGAATTAATGTGTTGTTCATTCAGGCCTTAAACATTTGTGAATTAATGTTTTGTTCGGTCAGGCCTTAAACATTTGTGAATTGATGTGTTGTTCCATTAAGCCTTAAATATTTGTGAATTAATGTGTTGTTCAATCAGGCCTTTAATATTTGTGAATTAATGTGTTATTCGGTAAGGCCTTAAACACTGGTGAATTAATGTTTTGTTTGGTCAGGCCTTAAACATTTGTGAATTGATGTGTTGTTCAGTCAGGCCTTAGATATTTGTGAATTAATGTGTTGTTCGGTTAGGACTTAGATATTTGTGAAATAATATGATGTTGGGTTATGCCTTAAACATTTGTGAATTAATGTGTTGTTTGATCAGGCCTTAAACATTTGTGAATTAATGTATTGTTTGGTCAGGCCTTAAATATTTGTGAATTAATTTGTTGTTTTGTCAGGCCTTAAATATTTGTGAATTTACTTGTTGTTCTGTCAGGCCTTAAACATTTGTGAATTAATGTGTTGTTTGGTCAGGCCTTTAACATTTGTGAATTAATATGTTGTTCGGTTAGGCCTTTAATATTTGTTAATTAATGTGTTTTTCGGTCAGGACTTAAACATTTGTCAATTAATGTGTTGTTTGGTCAGGCCTTACAAATTTTTGAATCAATATGTTGTTCGGTTAGGCTTTAAACATTTGTGAATTAATGTGTTGTTCGGTTAGGCCTTAAATATTAGTGAATTAATGTGTTGTTCAGTCAGGCCTCAAACATTTGTGAATCAATATGTTATTCCGTTAGGCCTTAAATATTAATGAATTAATGTGTTTTTCAATCAGGCCTTAAACATTTGTGAATTATTATGTTGTTCCGTTAGGCCTTAAACACTTGTGAATTAATGTGTTGTTCGGTAAGGCCGTAAACATTTGTGAATTAATATGTTGTTCCGTTAGGCCTTAAACACTTGTGAGTTAATGTGTTGTTCGGTTAGGCTTTAAACATTTGTGAATTAATGTGTTGTTCATTCAGGCCTTAAACATTTGTGAATTAATGTTTTGTTCGGTCAGGCCTTAAACATTTGTGAATTGATGTGTTGTTCCATTAAGCCTTAAATATTTGTGAATTAATGTGTTGTTCAATCAGGCCTTTAATATCTGTGAATTAATGTGTTATTCGGTAAGGCCTTAAACACTGGTGAATTAATGTTTTGTTTGGTCAGGCCTTAAACATTTGTGAATTGATGTGTTGTTCAGTCAGGCCTTAGATATTTGTGAATTAATGTGTTGTTCGGTTAGGCCTTAGATATTTGTGAAATAATATGATGTTGGGTTATGCCTTAAACATTTGTGAATTAATGTGTTGTTTGATCAGGCTTTAAACATTTGTGAATTAATGTATTGTTTGGTCAGGCCTTAAATATTTGTGAATTAATTTGTTGTTTTGTCAGGCCTTAAATATTTGTGAATTTACTTGTTGTTCTGTCAGGCCTTAAACATTTGTGAATTAACGTGTTGTTTGGTCAGGCCTTTAACATTTGTGAATTAATGTGTTGTTTGGTTAGGCCTTACAAATTTTTGAATCAATATGTTGTTCGGTTAGGCTTTAAACATTTGTGAATTAATGTGTTGTTCGGTTAGGCCTTAAACATTTGTGAATTAATATGTTGTTTGGTCAGGCCTTAAACATTTGTGAATTAATGTGTTGTTTGGTTAGGCCTTTAACATTTGTGAAATAATGTGTTGTTCCATTAAGCCTTAAATATTTGTGAATTAATGTGTTGTTCAGTCAGGCTTTAAACACTTGTGAGTTAGTGTGTTGTTCAGTCAGGCCTTAAATATTTGTGAATTAATATGTTGTTCGGTTAGGCCTTAAATATTTGTGAATACATGTGTTGTTCGATTGGGCTTTAAACATTTGTGAATTAATGTGTTGTTCCGTTAGGCCTTAAATATTAGTGAGTTAATGTGTTGTTCAGTCAGGCCTCAAACATTTGTGAATAAATTTGTTGTTCCGTGAGGCCTTAAACACTTGTGAATTAATGTGTTGTTCGGTTAGGCTTTAAACATTTGTGAATTAATGTGTTGTTCGGTTAGGCCTAGTTTATTAGTAAATTAATGTGTTGTTGGTCAGGCCTTAAACATTTGTGAATTAATGTGTTGTTCAGTCAGGCTTTGGATATTTGTGAATAAATGTGTTGTTCAGTTAGGCCTTAAAAATTTGTGAATTAATGTGTTGTTCGGTTAGGCCTGAAATATTTTTATATA